AGGGAAGTATGCTGAATCGCCATGTTCCCACTGACAGAGTTCGTGGGGAGGCTGCAGTCCTTCTTTCTGTCAGACATGGTCGGAGTAAACCTCTGACTCCGTAGGCTGGGGTTCCCATATGCAGGCTTGCTTGGGTACAGTCAGCTCCAGGGTCGTCTCTGTCACTGCCACCTGGTGAGCCATGGGGGAGCGCCCTGCCATGGGGGAGCGCCCTGCATCCAGGCAGCTCCTCATCTCGGGCAGGTGCCTGGGTGGTGGCGCCGACTGCAGCGCAGGTAAGCACTTGTCAAGAGGTGCTTGCTGCTAATCGGGAAACAAGGGCGTGGAAGTACTTTCTGAGATAAGTATCAGGAAATGCTCCTGCAGAATACCTGGCAGGAGTTTGTTTTCAGTTTCTTGGAAATTCCTGCCTTGTGTCGCATTCAGTCAGGAAAAGCAATGTGTTATAAACCCTGCAATGTGTATTAATTATGTCTTTTACCTCACTGACAGGCAGGCATCTGTGCTGTACGCTGGAGTGAAGCAAATCTCAGACACTCTTCATTTTCTGCAATTGCTTTAATTGTTATCAGCACTTTTGGAAGCAGTAAGAACCTCTGTTCCACAAATAGATTTCTGAATTTTACCTTGCTTCGGGGGGGCTGAATCCTGTAACAGTTATATCGCCAGGCTTCTTGAGAGTCTGCTGAACATTGTGCCAGGAGGGAAAATCTTAGAGACTGTGTTCCTTCTGCAGAAACGTCTGCTGTGTGTGGTGTCATGGAGAGTTAGGGCCTATGAGGAAATTTATCCCTTGCTCTTCCCCTTCTAAAGCCTCCTTCTCCAGTGAGGCTAGCAGCAACTTTATCTCAGCTCTTCATGTTCCTTTCTGTCACTTTTGGTATTGGTTGTTTGCTCGATTTTAATAATTGATTTGCATGTATAAAAGCCTTTACTGCTCTAGACCTATGCTGTCCTTAATGTGTTTTAAGCACAATAAACTACACGGTTCTTGTAATGTCTGAACAGGATGAAATGGTGTGCTGCCTCAGGCTACTTTAGTAAACCTAGTTACTTGGATGATACTAACAAAAATGTGTTTCAAACAAACTTTTATTTTCAGGTTGTGTCACGAAACTGGCAGTGTATTTTCTGGCTATATCATATGTTGTTGCAGATTATTTTACGATTTACATATCCAAATGTAAATCCCTCAGGAAGTTTTTCTATTGCTTTAGTTTCTCTACACTTTACACCTATTGCTCATCTATAGTTAAGAGCAATTAGATGTTTTTAACAAACTGTGAGACAGTGTGGACCAGTAGCAGCAGGGAGAGGAGGAACAGGCACTGTGAACTGGGGTAATGAAATCCATAACTTGTGGCCCAGTATTCCCTAACAGTGAATTAGGATGTGATTACAAAGTTCATACTACGTGAATTCAAGTTGCTTTCCCTTTCGGTTCAATAAGTTGCCACATCACTGTTTTCATAGAAGAATGCAGATGACTTACCTTTGGCTTCAAGCTAAATGGGGAAGATAAATGTGGGGAAAATAAATTCACACAGGTCAAACTTCTGTAAGAAAAGTTTGCATGTGGTTCCAATTGTGTCTCATTTACCTCTTTTAGCTGAAAAAGAATATATGTTACTAATATTAACAAATTCTAATTTTACCTTCACAGATAAATTTGAGCAGTTTTGGGCAATAAATCGAAAACTCATGGAGTATCCTCCAGAAGATAGTGGATTTCGATACATCCCATTTAGAATTTATCAGGTAGGAGACAATGAAATAAACCCACTTTTACCCAAACTCTTCCACTGAGGTGTCATATATCCTAATCTGTTTTCAGAATTATACATTCCCTTTTCTAACATTATGGTAAAACTCTGTATGCTCATCTTTGCTGGACCCTTAAGCTCTATGAATTAGCAAAGACAACATAGACTATATTTATTCTAATAGGTAATTACTGTTCGTTATATTGTAAGTGTGTAATACTTGAGAATGTGTTAAGGCTGGTATAGATTATGTTTGTTTGTGGGTTTGTTTTTTTTTAAAAAAAAAAAAACCTAATTCTGTCAGTAAAATTAACTGCTAACTATGAGGACTGCTTTGGATGCAAAATGCCCTCTGAACGGTCTTAAGGCAAACATTTCGGGAGCAACACTTTTCCCTCAACCACTGTGTAGGCTTCTTTTCTTGTTGGCATGATAAGGTGAAAGTAATGGCATAGGTCTTGCATCTAGTTCTTACCTTTGTCTTCTAAATGTATATTTTACAATCCAAAACTAGCTTTGAATATTGTTTTAATACACCAGTACTCTATTTTTCTCAGCAGTTTATTTGGAGACTTATTCCTTGGAATCCTTACAATTTTTTTGATGTCCCATTAGTTTTTACAGCATTAAGGTCACAATGAAGTTTGGAATTAAGTGTGGTTAAAAGCTTATAGACCATTCATGTAGCCTCCCTGTAAATTAAACAGTTCTGCTTTGTTCGTCTTTGAAATATTTTCATCTATTTATGTTTAAATTTTGCACCTGTAGCTAGCAAAAAAAGTCCTTTATTCATAGTGCTGAATAGTCTGATACTACTTTATAACAGGTTTTAATGACTGTACAAACCTATACAATGTTGCAGTGGGACTGAAGTAACTTGTAATGCTAGATACAAGACGTTTACTGTCATAGTGAAACCTTAGATTGAGAACAGAAGTCAGTCATTTTGTCAGAGATCATAGCAGATGGTAAGGTTTGTGTAAGTATCAAAAAGTATGCATCAAGAAAAGTAGTTCACTCGCAGCATTTTGTTTGGTTGGTTACTAAGTTGTTTGTTCTCAGTGTTGGGTTTTTTTTTTAAGTCTTTTCGTAGAAATCATGTAAATCGGTTTGCAAAATGGAGGTTTTGCTGTCTGAATAAGGTACAGACCTTTAAGCCATGAGGGAAATTTTCTATGCTATCACATGATTTTATGCCAGTAAAGCTTTTTTAAGAAGAAAGAAAAAAAAAAAAATCTATCCCTTTAGCCAGTAGTACTTACTGTGATTCTCATTATCTTTTCAACTGGAAACCCTTGCTTGCTGTAGTTTAAACACAAACTGTCTAGCTAAGAATAGAAGACCAAACACAAAGAAAGGTGATGCTGAGACAGCCTTTGAGAAGGTTGGTGCATATTATTTTCAGTAATGCAGCTCTTAATATTTCTGGATATTTTCAGCAATGTTCCTCTTTTTAAAAAAGTGGCTGCAGGTGTTTCTAGCTTTTTTGTTCATTTTGTTGGTTTGTGTACTGATTACTGCTCATCATAAAAGTCTATGTATTTAAAGGAATTTTCAGAAAGTGTTAGGAAGGGCAAGATTATAATTTGATTCCAAGCAAGGAGTTAATTCCTGTAGTTTTAACATAATGTTACAGTGCTTAGTGACAGACTTGCATATGCTGAAGTAACTGATTCAAAAGTATTATTAAGATGTATTTAACACCCACCCCAGTTGCATTTAATTTCCATTAGTGCTTGCAGAGGTCAGCTTTGCGTTCTAATTGGTTGCTTGCATATCCCTACATAAATACCTGAAAGCCAGTTTAGCCTGGGTTTGTACTACAGTGGGCATTTATTTCCTATGTGTTTTTAAATAGTGTCTTTGTAGGTACTTAAGGATATACAGGATATTACTAGGCATTTCCTTCACACCTTCCATTACCCCAAAATTATTAGAAGGAAATTCTGTGAGGGGAACTGCCTAGATCTGTGTTTTGGCAGTATGAGGTGGATGAATTTGTCTTCCTTCCAAGAAATATACTACATTATGATACCAACTAAGAAAAAATCAGTCTTAGCAACGATTAAATGTGACTGGGGAAAGTTGCTGCAGAAAAAATGCATGCAATAAGGTGATCTGACATGCTTTTCACTTGAAGGCCTGATATTTTCAAAACTCAAAGGCTCTTTCAATTGTAAAGCTTGTCTATTAAAATACATTTCTAAAGAATAATATGAATCATACCTCGTGTGGTATCCAAATCTGATGGTGTGGGGGGGAGAAAGAGATGGCAAAAATACGAACGTCGCACTTGGTCAAGTCAGAACTAAACTAACCACAGGTAATTTTAAAAGCCTTTGTCCAGCACCTCTTCTTTTACGTGTAGCAACTAAGATCGGACCAGAATCCTGGCATCTACTGTAGAAAATGAAGAAAAAGACTGAATATTGCTAAGCATCAACTCATTTGCAATTTTAGAAGTTAGCTAAGAGATCTTGGAGATTTTATTACCATCTGGCATAGTCTAAACTGTGTTGTATAGAACTTGCACGAAATGAACCTTTGACATAGGTGGAAACTTTTTCTACCAGAGACGGTTTAAAAATAGGGATTACATTTTTGCGACACTTTTACTTACATGCGTCCAAAAAAAAAAAGTGCCCTGCTTGATCACTTCAGAGGCATAAGCTCCTGTCTTCAGTTGACAGTTGCATGAAAACTTTTTTGCCTTTTTGTCGTGTACTCTATTCAACAGTACTGTGTTTTTGTTTTTTTTTTTAATCTTGTTCTTTAATAGCAAGAGAGAAAATAATAGTAATGCTTTGAGTATGTTATGCATTTTAAGAGTGTTGCTTTTCTTGTACAGTACTAGAGCTAGTTTAGCTTGAGGACTTTTTCCCCCATGTTTACAAGACCGTCTGGTTTTGCACTTTCTAATTGAACAAACTATATGGCTGATAAATGGCAGGAAGTTTTCATCAGTCTTTGGCTCCAGGCACTGTGACAGGGCATATTAGTCAGGCACCGGAGAGGAGTCTCTACATGCTGATAGAGACTACCCTGATGAACAACTGTCTGATGTCTTACGCTGCAGATGGGAGCACTCTGAGTCTCAGTTGTTGTGTGCTTAGTTTGCACGCATCCCTGAGTTTTGGTTTCTTGCTCTCCCCCTGTGTCATGTTCACCCACTTGCTCTTTCTTGTTCTGGCTCTGTCAATCTTCCTTTCCTCTGCAGTCTGCCGTATGAGTAGATAGGATTTAAAGTAGTAAACAGCATTTCATTCTTGAGAATAAAATTACAAAAGTATGTGAAAGAAAATGTGTTAAAACTATATATGACAAGTTCTTCTGAGCTTTTCTAGAGCCGCAATTGGCTTAAGGCAGGCTGGCTGTTTTGGGCTGGCAAACACGCAAGGGAATGATCTGGGATTGTTTCTTTGCTTGTTCCTTTATTTGGGTACTGGGACATGCCACGGTACTGGAATGAGCATTTTCTTTGCCTCTGTTTTCTAAGGGGTTTGATTAGGTTATTAATTTTATTGCCTAATTACATAGTAGGCCTTAACTTTGAACAGGTTTTTCCTATCCTAAGTCCCTTAAGATGTTGTGATTAAATCAGTCACAAATTGTTATGATATTTATCTGCCTTAATAATGTAGAGTGAAATTCTGTACTTAATAACACGTTGGTTAAATCCAACACTTTGCTCTTTTTGTCAAAGTTGCAGTACTGAGATGTCTAAATGGATTTAAATGTCTACCATGACCTGTCCTCTAAAAATAGCAAGGTGGGAGGGGGAAATGAAAACTTCTAAGACGTTATTAATATCTGCTTCAATAATGAATCAGAAGCTCAAGCATGGCCCTTTCCCAAGCAATGGAAGACTGTTTTATTCATATTTCCACATTAATTGGCAGAGCTCAGATAATCAGTTGCAAACCCCATTACAAGTATGTAAATCAGCATCACAATTTGACAGTTACTCAAACTGATCAAAACAGATTGTTTGGAAAAATACTGGGTCCATGTGTAAAGTTTTCAAGTAATAATGAATCCATCCTTTTGTACTAGTAGGTTATTAAAATCTCTTTTTGTTTTGGTTGAAAAGCCTCCATTGCATTTCAAGGCCGAATTTGTCTGGCTTCAACTCCAGTTTTTAGATTTTACTTTGCCTTATACTACTTAAGTCATCTGACTTTCTAATCTCCAAGTTCACTTACAGAGTGATTTCAGCAGCTTCATTTTTCTTTGGTAAGCTGAATCAATTGAGCTCTTTAAGCCTCTTGTCATGAGGCTTGCTTACCAATGCTGAAGTTGTTTTTTTAGTAATCTTTTCAAACACTAGCTGATATTTTGGTAATCCTCAAGATTAGTATTAACGTTAGGGAGATGTAGAAGCCAAAAGTAAAGTTTATTTCTATAGGATTTTAGATCAAAAGATCTCAATCCCACTAAGCACTGATGGGATAGAGGTAAAGTTAGCTTGAAACTGCAAATCTGAAAATTTTTATGAAAGAAGTTGAAATGCAATGATTCATCGAGCCAAAGAACTAAAAAAATGTTGTCATATCGGCCTGAAGAGGGCAACACAACACAGCAAGTTTCAGTCTCTTGTTGGCTAGTGCAAAATGCTCTTAATAGACCCATGTGTAATACCTTATTTAACTTATTTCTTATTTATTAAAAATTACAATTTCATAATGGACCTGCTGAAAATAGATCAATTTATTTCTTAGAAATTTCCTTTTACAAAGAAGAATTTTGAGTGAATAGGAAAATAGTGTGAAATGATGGGTAGTTTGTGTAACAGAGCTGTGCTTAGCCGAATTTCTGTGCTGAAAAGAAAAAATCTGACTGATTCATCATGAGTTGAGTACACAGAATGACTTATTCTAATAACTGATGGTTCAGCACTGAAGAAACACTAGCACACTTTCACCAGTTTTAAATTTCTTCAAAATCAAAGCTCTATGAATGAGGAAGTTTAAAAGCTTTGCTAGGCAAATATTTTTC